CGGGCAAAAGGGAGATTTATTCAATTTTTATTTTTTTGTATTTATTTATTTTTATTTTATTTATTTATTTATTTATTTATTTATTTATTTATTTATTTATTTATTTATTTATTTATTTATTTATTTATTTATTCATTCATTTATTTATTTTTATTTTTATTTTTATTTTTTGGGGAGATTTATTCCAACGGAGTTCAAGCTGCACAAAGGTTACAACGTTTGTATCAGTTTAAATAGTGTTGATACTGATCAACAATTTTTTTTACATCAGCCAGCTCAGATAAAAAAGTAAGCTTCTGTTTAATATCGGCCAATTAAATGGGGGAAGTGGGACAGTTTTCACCTGCACGCCCCATGTCGGTGAGTGGATTACCCCTCGTTTCACAGCACAGCTTCACCACAAACATTACCTTGTGTTTGTTGGTAACACTTCGAGCTGGAGATGCTCACGCCTTTCCTTCATTTTTCTAAAGTTACCGACTTTGTCTGAGAATCTTTTCAGAAGAGCAACTAGCGTTAAATGCGGTGAGTCAGTGGACAAACTAAGCCTTAAACACTGTTAAAAACTGGTGCCAAAATTGCACGAAGCCTCACTTTTCCTCCTCCTCTTCTCTCCACCGACTGCAAAGCAGTGGCCTTTGTGGGCTGTTAGCAGCACATACAGTCATTTTTATATCAAAGTACAACCAACATCAAAACAAACTCTTTTTTCAAAAGGTTATTTTGTCAGATAGCAAACCAAGTATATTGACAACGAATAAGTCTCAACTGATTAATTTCTGATACATTGTTATTTGCATTATGAATATATTAAATATGATAATAAGTCAAATACAATTACTTTTCTTCAGTATAGTTATATTTTGATAGCTAATACCAATAGAAAAAAACAACAAGTACCTGTGACGATTTCCCTGCTTCATTACTCGATTGAATTGGTGGATCACCAATTAACCCAAAGCCTAAGTTTGCTCAGGAAAAGAGCACCTGAAGACATTTAAATATCTGCATATTTGAAATATGAATTATATAAAATACAGGACATGATGAAGACGTTTGTTGAAAGAGCAGAGGATTCAGTTTGGGCTCTCGGGGCAAAGCAAAAAACTTTAGTGGGACTGTTTGTTCCTGTGCACACCTGGACAGAACCTAATGTCTCTGTAATTATGACACTATTGCGCTTATATTTGCCCCACTTGAATTTGCAACACTGACTAATGTATGCGACAGGTTTATGCCTGCTCTATGACGTGTGTAGACGGTAATTCCACAAAATGGAGGAATTCCCATACTAAGGCAGTAAAAAAAAAACCTTAGGAAAACCTCATATCACTAGAAGTAAACAAACCGTAATCAATGTTTCCGGTCTTTATTTTTTGCAAATTTAAATTTTAGAATTTTTTCTCACTGGAATCAAGCTTTAAGTTAAAATCAAGCAAACGTGCGTTTTCTTCTTTCTTTTTTTGGGTGGTACATTCCGCTTGTACATGTATCACAACTTATAATAACAAACTGAAACTTTTCCAAGCCTACATACCAGGACATGGTGGTCAAAACATCAGTACTGCCTCTCAGCTTCCCCCCTTTAGGGGATATAGCAGCCCTCCATCTTTCCCAACATCAGACATAAAGGTGGTGAGCATTCAAAGACTAGAAACGCCACCCCACTTCCCCACAAGTATCGCTGTCCAGACTGTGGATCACAGCCTTTAATGAAGTGGCGTGCAGTAGTCGGACAGCTGCCGGGATGCTAATTAGGAGACAGACATGAGAGGATAGACAGACGGGTTTGGGGTGGGGGCTGTGGTCTGTAATTAATGGCTTAACAAGGTGGGCCTAATATAGAGAAGAGATGAAAACAGCCTCCTGAAGTGGATGAGAAAAGGGGTGAAGAGGGGGAAAAAACTTACCTGTCATCAAAGCTCATGGTTAACCTTTTAGGATTGCCGGTCATTTTTCTAAGATGTCATTATGAGATAGGCATGTTCAAACAGAGCATGCTCAAAGCGTCACACTTCACTGGTTCTTTTCGTTTGAATTAAATAATACAGTACAGGGGCTGAGCTAGATGTGTTTCTTTCTAGCTGTTGCCTTCAAGCTAGCACTTGTTCATCAAGCTTGTAAAACCGATTTGTGTCGTGCATGCTCAAAACTTTAAACACCGTCACCCATTTGATGTATTCATTTAAATCAATCAAAAAAGATACAATTAAAACTACCACATGGAGATACAAAATACTTGAGTTTGGTTTTATCACAAAAAATACATATAATAACCCCACTTTCTTCCAAATATGCTGGAAAACAATGCAAACTGAACTGAAATCAGAAGAGTGTGTGTAAACAGGATATAAGCGCACGCCGAAGAAATATGCAAGATGAACAGAGGCATGCTGGAACTGAGCTCAGCTCCAGTTCACATGGATCACGTGATCACTTCTCTCATGCATCGGTGATCTCATAGAGAGAAATGAACATATTCGGGATTCTCAAATAGGTTCTCGTGCCAAAAGAAAATTCAGGGAACTACCTGTGCTCCAACGTACGCATCATATATTTTACATTCAGAGTCATTAGAGGAAAGAAAATCAAATGTGGACACACCGTTGGTTTCCCACCAGATGATACAAGCAGGAGATTTGGATATATGTGGTTTGATTTAATGCCAAGTTAATTGCGGTATTCAAAAGAAACAAACAAACTAGCTTTTTGCAATTATTTGAGTTGTTTGGCAGGCTTTTTCTATATTTGTTGCATTATGTAGAACACATCAATCTGTATCATCAGTAGTTAAAAAACATTGCATATGATTTCATAGATAAACAGATAGAAGGCTTCTGGGGTTTGGGGTTTGATCAGTATCTTTGAGTTTGTCATTGTGAAATTCTATAATTAACCTACATTTACTAACGAACAAAGGTTTGTTGCTAATTTGAATTTATGGAGACGTAACCCTAAGTCCTCTTGTAAGCTACAGTAATTGTTTTGTTTTGTTTTTTTGTTTTTTTGCTAATATATGAGTGTTTGCTCAGGATGTTTGAAGAGTACCATATACGGGTATTGATTTGCACATTCTTTTTTTTTTGGGTTGTGAACTTATCACTGTTTAACAGAGTGTTGAGTGGTGCACCGTACCACTGTTGTGTGTCCCGTTGTCCTTATCCCATGCCTCCACTATCAGGGTGTAAGCTCGCTGAAACACAGACAGAACAGGGCAGAGGTTATCACAGTGCACGCTAAAACAGAACGTGGCGCACACACAGACACCCACACAGTCCTGCTGCAACTCACACTTTTTTTACTTCGCGATACAGGCATGGCCGTGATGTGGAATTTGCATAAAAAGTAAAATACAAGCTGCTGTCACTCATAAACAGACACACACATGAGTACTTTCAGACACACACACACTCACGCACACGCGTCGACTGTGACGATGAATAACGGTGGGAAAATAAGGCTCTTTCCCACACTACTGTCACTGATTAGATTCCATAAGCCCGGGGCAGCTGACAAGTGCAGCCACTGTATTGTCGAGGAGCAAAACATTCACCTGGAAACTAGCAGCGTACGTTTGTCATATTTCATCCAACAGGTCCATTCAAATTAGTTTTCGGTTTCCTTTATACGAGGCCAAGTAATCAAAACATGTTTCATCTGACGCTTGTCAGGGCCAACAACTAAGCCAGTTTTCCATTTGGCAATGATTTATTCCTTAAGTCAGATTAACAATGTTTTAACAGTGCAGTCGGTAAATGGCTAAATCAGAGAAACTTTGTGTAGTTATGTGTCAATGTCTATCATAAAAATGGATTTAATTAGTTTGATGACTGATTTTATTGACTAAAAGACACAGAAAAATAACAGACATACACAAAATGTTTTTTTGAACAGAACAACCAAATGATTTACTTATGAAGACATAAGTAAAAAAAAAATTTAAATGGTTGGAAGTCCTATTGTCCATATCATCTAGGTCCTAACAAGACAGAGTCATAGTTTCAGTATGTCAGCCAAATAATGGTCGTCCATATTCTACCAAATGTTGAAGTCATTTCGCAACATGGCAACATTTTTCTTAACCCGATTACATTTTGATGTGAGGTGCACATGCATGGAAGGCTTTTGCTACTCCTGACTTCTGTTTATCGTGTTTGTTCATGTAGTTTTTATCTATTTTGTCCCACCGACCCACTGTGGAATAACTCACCACTCACCTGCACGGCAGGTGGCGATACGCACCTTTAAACTAGTTGTTTAGGAAAAACAGAAAAATTATTATTTTTGTCTTACAGGTGTTGCCGTACAGATATAGGAACAGTCAGACAAGTGATGATGCAGATGGGATTTCTGGGTTAGATCATTCTGGTTTAGTCTCAAGTTGTTCTAGTGTAAACTGTGTGTCTAATATTGATTTACTTTAATGTTTTTTTATTCACATAAACTGTGCCACTTCTCATGAAGGCACCATGGGGGACGCTGGTTCGAAACCATAACTGAATACATACTGCCATTGTGCCCCTTGGACGTGTAACCCAACCTGTCCGTATATATAGGAGTGAATGAATAATGATTTCATTTGTAAGGTGTCTGAAAAAGTGGTTTATTAGACAAATGTTTTATTCTCACATTTAATATTATCATACAATTGGACTAATTATGGATTGTCCAGTTCAATGTTTCAGAAATTTTCCCCATTTTGTTTTTTTTTCTGTTAAGTGCTTTGAATGCTTTGATACTCCAATATTTCAACTCAACTTATTTTTTTCTTTTACTGGAATATTTTGTCCACCACTGACTATAGTGCAAAGTCAGTGTTTGTTTATATATTCTATGTACAAGCTCAGCATGCCCTGCACACTATGCCCTACTTTCCAGAGGAGACGGACTCCGCCGTCTCACAACAACAAACTCAAGCTCCAGATTGTTTCAGGTGCAGAGTTCTTTTTTCTTCTTTTTTTTTTTTACGGGCATCAGCAAACAAATTCAGACAGTCCTCGCCGTCCGTCAACTGCATGTGGTCGCACAAGCAGCTGTGAGTTCCCATGACCCGAGTGTGACTCAGAATGACTGAAAGCTGCAGGGGAGATTACAAGTGAAGAGGGAGAGAATACAGACAGAAGAGAGCAGATAGAAACTTGAAACAGAAGAGAGGACACCTAAAGAAATAAATTAAAGGTGATTTTTTTTGTCCCAAAGAACAGTTCAAATGAAATGGAGAAGGCATAAAATACAAACTGGATGGTGCACATCCGAATGAAGGTGGAAAACCACCTAAATGTGGAGCCACAAGTGGAACAATGCCATGAACTACTGCGCAAGATATGTGTCCAGAAGTTTTAACACCATTAGGATGAGGAAATGATCCTTCATGTCACATCAGAACCTCTAATCATTGATTTGTGATGGAAGAACTGAGAGCTCAAATCTGCTAGTAATGGACCAAAAAAATGAATAAAACAAGCCAATTATTGCAATGGCCTGAGTCATGTTTTACAACCATGCAATAAGGCTTTGAAAAATGTGGTTGTTTAAAGAGAGAAAAAGGAAGTGGAGCTGCAGTAACTATAGATAATTAGTTTTTTTTCTACCTTTAACCCCAGGTGACCGTATAAACCTCATCAACAATGTATGTGTGTGATGTTTAAAGAGTGATAGGTAAAGACCTGAACACCCACCTTCATTTATTACATCCCTCCCTTCTCATCTCTTCTTACCCAGACAGATGTACTGTATGTCCAGTAGTTTCCAGAATTTAGTGTGAGTTTTCTGAATTTTCAGTGTTATATCACAGATCTTCCAGGGAAAGATATAAGCATACAACACATCAAACAGACAGACAACTTAATAGAAATACAGACGTCAAGAAAATAACATCCTGCCATCAATTAGTCTAGTTGTTTGCTGCTGGTAGTGGGCTTGCATCAGTTTGCCAAATCACCAAAAAGTCAAACAAAATCCCCAAAATCCCAAAAAACAAACGAACAATGATTTGAATCGGTGACAAAGCCTCCAGTTTCAGACTGCGCTCTGTCAGCGTGTCGGCGACGGAGCGGTGATTTATGATCCCGGCGAGCGTCCCTAATTCTGACTGAAAATAAAGGGGGACATTATGATAATCAATCTTCCCCCTTTGTAATCAATCTTAAATGTCACAGGGACCGGCCCCTTAAACCACCACAGCTGTCCCACACGGTCTCAGAGCGGCCTGACGTGTGTGTATTCGGTCTCAGTACACTTGTTAGACTGTGCGACCGGACTGGAAGTGTGCGATTATGTGCACTATGGTATCTAGGGTATCAAAGCGTCAAGTCCTTTTTGGGTTCCGCAGCGGGACGGCTTTATGAGTCGGATGCGCGAATTGTGTGTCTGTTTGCGCACACACGCAAGTGTCATTTTTCTGGGCGTGGAGGGAGTAGATAGAGAGAGAGAGAGGGGGAGGAAGGGGTGAGGATGTGCCGGGAGATACTTGACACCTCTGAACCAATTTGCAGGAGTCAGAGGGATATGAGTTTTCATTAGGCAAGGAGAAGCCAGCCCACTCCTCACTGCCTTCACCTGTTCAATGAATAAATTACCGCTTTGCGCTCAGCAGGAACAGCCGCTAGCGACACACAAGCTCTACTGAGAATACACTGTATGGTCTGGAACCGATCCACTGATGAATTCTTTCGAGTTTATCGCATGTGTTAATAAGCTTTGTTTTGCAGAAACAAATCCCCTGTAACTCGGAGCTTCATGCAAGCAAAAATAAAGTTCCTGAATTCTTAATACATTACTAGCAACGCAAGCTCCTATCTTTTCTCTTTTATTTTAGTTTGTACCTAATCACTTTTGAGAAAAAAATGAGAAATTCTCAATCAGATTCAAGCTTTTAATAAAAAAAAAAAGGTTTGGAAGTATAGATTTATACAGACTATAGAATGACAGGTATGCGGCTCAGTTTATATAACGATGGATGTTGGCATTTGTCGAGTACAGATGCCACACTTGATCCTCATAGTCATAAATTTTAGGATTACATCTGCAAAAATGCTCATGTGGACATTTACAGACACAGACAGGTGATGAAATTAACAGTATATATAGGGTCTGTACACCTCAGGCTTCACTGTTAGTTTATGCTCTGTGTTTTTACTGGATGTCAAAAGGCTAATATTGAGATTTGTAGTTTATTTAGCCAAGATTTGTTCGTAATTGAAAAGTTTAAATGGCCACCCCATATAGTTATAAGAATTAAGAAAGGTTCATGTAAGCTGAAAGAAATTAAGAGGATCACACTGTGTAATTGGAGCATTGCATATTGAAAAACTCCATCCATCAGTTTGCTATACAATTAATTCCTATTAAGGTTGCGTTTGTCTGAAGGCTTTATCAGCTGTCGTTGGACAAGAGGCAGGATAAACTCTGGAGAGATTGCCAGTCCATCACAGGGCCACACGGAGATGAACAAACAAACACATACACACTGACATTTTCCAGCTGGCCATTCTAAATAATCAATTAACCTAACATACTGTATATAGTTTTGGACTGTGGAGAGTCGATGTGAACATGTCAACTCCACACAGACCACGTAAGACAACAGTGCTAGCCACCACGCCACGGTACAGCTCCATAGAAAAAAATGCTTGTCTAAATTTAGAGTAGAACTGGGCTAAAGCTAACAGTGACATACATTTTTTAGGGTTTCGTAGAGAGATTTGGTGGTCATGTCTTTTTTCTTTTGTCACTTTTGAGAAGCTTTTACGACAATCAAACAGCTTTCCAGCCACAGAGTGAGTGGTAAATAAAGTAAAGTAAAACAAGTAACACTAAACCCCGTATTTTCTCTATCATCCACAGACTCAAACACCAACGAACGCCTCACAGGCAAACAGCAGTTCAGCATCTTGCCGAAGAGCACTTTCACATTTGGACAGGGTACTACATTAATCAGATCCCAGACTTTCTGTTTGGGATACGCTTTACGCCCTCAAGCTCAACTACGGTCTTTATTGCATAGGGACAGGGAGCATAGTCTCAACACATTTCTTGTTCCAATAAATGTACATCAAGAATGTTTAACTTTTCGCAAAAAAAAACACAAACTCAACAAATGCTTCCCACAAGTCATTGTGACATTGTTATCTAGAGTCCATCCAATCAATGTGCCAGAGATTCTTCTGAATATAACTGCATTAGACATTCAAT